CCCCGGTGCGGTCGAGGCCACAGCCTCCCAAGGCTCCTGGCCTCGCCCTTCCCCTCGCCACCCCGCCTGATCGAGGCCCCGGTGGGCCAAGCTGCCCAGGCTCGTCCCTCTCCCCGCTATGGGCACGGAGATGGTCATCGTTCAAGGCAGTAGAAAACGGGGGAAATTTGGTCTTTAAAGCACAACAGGGTTGCCAACCTCCAGGTGGGGCCTGCAGAGGTCCCAGAATTACAAGTGATCTTCAATCCAGGCTCCAGAAATCCGTTCCCCTGGAGAAAATGGCTGCTTTGGAGGGTGGACTCTGTGGCATTAGGGGCCTGGAGATCTCCCAGAATCAGAGCTGATCTCCAGACCACAGAGATCGGTGCCTCTGGAGGAAAAGGCCGCTTCAGAAGGCAAACTCTATGGTACATCACAGATTCCAGCCGTAAAACCCCTCCCCAAATTTCCCCCCTTCACAGGCACTGCCCCCAGATCTCCAGGAGTTTCTCAAGCTGGAGTTGGCAACTAGGTGAATTCTGCTGGGAAAGGGGGCAACCGTGCCCACTGCACCCTCTCTTTGCCCTCCTGTTTAGGGTTGCCAGGTGCCTCCCCCCCCCCGTCCACTGGCAGGGGGTAGGGTTGCCAGATCCAGGTGGGGAAATTCCTGGAGATTTGGGGATAGAGCCTGGGGAGGACAGGGACCTCAGTGGGGTACAGTGCCATAAAACTGCCCCTCCAAAGCCCTCATTTTCTCCAGGGGAACCGATCTTCTCTTATGTTCTTAAGGGACAGGATAACCATCTGGAGCAGAGGTCCATCAGTGGCTATTAGCCACAAGGTATAGATAGGAAAAGGAGCTGCGGTGGCTCAAGTGGTTAAGATGCTGACCTGCAGGCTGTGGAAGGTCAGTAGTTCAGCAGTTCGAGACCCGGGTGCCGCAAGACGGAGTGAGCTCCCGTCTCTAGTTCCAGCTCCTGCCAACCTAGCAGTTCGAAAGCAAGAAATTGCAGTTTGAAAGCAAGAAATTGCAAGTAGATAAATAGGTACCACTTCGGTGGGAAGGTAACAGCGTTCCGTGCGCCTTGGTGTTTAGTCATGCCGGCCACATGACCACGGAAATGTCTTCGGACAGCGCCGGCTCTTCGGCTTTGAAACGGAGATGAGCACCGCAACCCTAGAGTCGGATTCGACTGGTTTTCGAGCAAGGGAACCTTTACCTTTACTATAGACAGGAATACTGTGATTCTTGGTGCTTGGGGGGCAAGGGGGGGCTTCTGGCCCCACTGCTGGACCTCCTGATGGCACCTGGTATTTTTGGCCCCTGTGTGACTCAGAGTGTTGGACTGGATGGGCCACTGGCCTGATCCAACATTGGCTTCTCTTGTGTTCTTATGTCTGGGGCAGGGATGCTCTGTCTTCTTGGTGTGTGGGGGGCAACAGTAGGAAGGGCTTCTGGAGTCCTGGCCTCGCTGGTGGACCTCCTGATGGCCCCCGGGTGTCGGGCTGGATGGGCCACTGGCCTGGTCCAGCAGGGCTTCTCTGATGTTCTTATCTCTGTCGTCTAGAGAGCAGCCGTGATTCCAAGGGATCCCCAGGTCCCACCTGGAGGTTGGCCCCCCTACTTCCCCAGGGGTTTCCTGACCCATCCAGAATGCTGACTACCCCCCCCCCCCCAGAAGGCGCACAGATGGATCCCACCAGACAACAACCCCCCCGGTTTTCCCTTGCCCCGATTCCGGATCCCCCCGAATGCCCGCCCAGCCCTTCTTGGCGGAACGGCGCCCCGACTGCCCCCGCCCCAGTCCCCTGCCTCCGTGGCGCAGGCGGCAGGCAGCCGAGCCGAGCCGAGGCGCGCCGACTCACCCGCCCAGCAGCAGCCCGGCGCCCAGCAGGAGCAGGTAATTGCTCTGGTAGTAGAGGAGGTTGTTGAGCACCCGGTTGTGCCACCGCTGCAGGTCCCGCAGGTCCGGCGGAGCCAAGCGCGACGAGCCCAGCAAGAAATCCTCCAGCGGCCGCACCGGAGGCAGCCGCACCTCCGACATCTTCGGGCGAGGGGGGGGGGGGGAGAGT